ATGAAATTAAATAAACCATTATTAAAATGGCCCAATTTCATGTTCGTGCTCTTTAATATTATTAAAAATTAATTATGCTCCATGAGTCAATTTTTATTAATTACGCTGGAAAAGATACATCTAGACCGCAACAACGAGCATAATCCTACTATAATTTTCTACAGAACCATGGTCTTCTCTTAATATAAATATTAAGACAACTCCAATTTATTTCTTCAAATATCTTGACAATATAGTGGAGTACTCATAATTTTAGCCAAAATTGTTGATAACAAGAAATACTCTTTAATCAAGAAATTTTCTGATTTATATAAAATACTAGAGCAATACGTGTATGCATTAATTCATGAATTTATACTGTTCATTCCAATAACAAAACACAAACATAAATTAAACCAATATTGGACTGACCATGATGTGCCATAAATTTTACTATATAGCTTAAATACAAGAATAACAATCGAAAACCGTATTTTGTTTTGTACTAATAATTTTTAGTAGATTCGGATTTTAACTCCTCATAGGATGGGCAAAAATAATGCAAGTTAAAAAAATTTTATTTTTTCTGTTGCAATAATATTATTATTTTAAGATTGTAATGTAGAGCGAAAATTTTCTTGCCAAGAAATGGGTCATATATAATGTGCATATTTGTACACACACAAGCATTAAGTGTGAAAAGAAAAATATCTTATACTTAAGACAAATTATTTGAAAATTTTCCTCAACTCAACACTGTACATGCACATACATATAAGATATTGTGGATAGGAGTGCATTCATTTTATTTAGCGCTTGCATATATTCTAGCAAATATTCGTTTAATTGTGTATTGCAAGTATTTAATAAAAAAAAATAATTTTAAGAATTTACTCGGCTGCTCTCATACTTTATAAGACTAATAATAACTATTATCATGACTGAAACACTATAATTATTTAGCACTATCATGCATTATGTTACAGCAATAGTACGAAAATCCATCCGCAATGGATAGTAATCTTTCACCTGCTTCTTTTGAAAAAATTGTTTATATTATCAAGTCTATCTAATTCACATCGCTTTAAAACAAAATCCAGGAGGATCATCCTGGCTCTATGCTAAAAAAAATCTATATGTTTTTTACTTATTCTTCCCATTTTCAGCTGTGACATGATGAATTGAAAGGCTATCCTGACCAAACAACATGCTCACTCACAGAATAATAACCCTTTTGTTTTAAAATGTAAAATTTGTACTGGCATATAAAAGCAGCTTATATTCGATTTGGAACAAAGATAAATTTTTAATTTTTTGAGATATATGAGGTTTTCAGCTTTTAAACTTAATTAAGAATCAATCGAAATCGAAAAATTTAGTATTCACAAATTGATAACGATTAACTATTATACTGTTATATCGTTCAACTATAGGCCAATCATAATTTCTTACATATACTTACATACATAAAATTTATAAGCTGCATGGCTATACAAACAAGGCAATAAAAGAACCATAAATAAACTAATACCAATATCGTTAATTTAGGTACTTGATAAAGGATACGCAAATCGTGACCATTGCGATGTGACAATCTTAAGTTAATTTATTCATTTTTGGATTCAGAGATTTTTTCGGAAAACTATTTATATTCCATATATTTTGAATAGGATGATATTCTACTGTTAAACCCTCGTATTGGGTGTTACAGGAATTGAAACATAAAATATTCAAGATAAATAAATTTAAATGTAAGAAAATGGGGAAAATATCTATTATGCAACATTAACAATTTCACAGCACATATCCATATGTACTAAAAGTAAAAGATATTAAATAAATGTGAATTAGTTGAATGTGAAAATAGGGCAAAAAATGGAAAAATAAGGATGAACATGTTATTATCATATTAAGGGTTCCAGCATTTTTATTAAAGAATCTATTTTAAATTCTCATGGAAACATTCAAGAAATTTCATTAAACTTTCTGGTGATATCCCAGCGATTTTTTGTAAATTCATACACAATTCTTATTAGCCAAACCATTTCCTTAAACAATTAAAATATTTCAAATTTGATTTATTTAGAGAACAGTTTGAAATATTAGACCTTTAAAATCAATTGATAAAAAAAGGAAATTTCAGAATGAAAATTCCTATTTGAAGAAAAGTTTTCAATTAAAAAATTAAAAATCAAATTTAATGCCAAAATAATTACAGGCACACATTTTTTCTTTTTAAAAGTTTTCCTCGTTTGACCTTCAACTACTAAAAGTTCTCATGCTACTTACCCCAATATACCTAATTTTTATTTTTCTTTAATATTATTTTGATCAAATAATAAAAAATAATAAAATCAAATATCCTTTTTATGAAAAATAAAGTGCATACAAATGTATAAATTTAAAGTATGGTGCCACATTTTTGTCGCCAAATGAAATTGTAAAAAAAAATTTTATTCTTTCGTTTTCATTTCATTATCCTTTTTCTATAATATATTCTGTATATAGGTTATTATGTACGTATACATATATATACATATATAAATATGAAATATATAAAAATTTGAAAAGAGAATGAATGCAAACTTCTGGAAATTCAGGTCAAAATAGGTTAAAAACCTTTCTCTTTTCTTTTTTAATTAAATTTATTTATTCCAAGGACGAAACTGTGAAAGTAATCAATATTTTTACAAGAATATAATTTTTATTTCTTGTATTTGTTTTACACTCTAAATTACTGCACTTTTTGAGTAATAATATGTACGTACACAAATATAATATATAAGGATATATGTAGAAAGAGTAGAAGATATAAGGAGTAGCAATTTGAATTCAACAACGAAAAATTGAAATTCCCCATAGTTAACGAATAAGTACAAGTACCTTTGATACATTTGAATTGAATATCATTACTTTAGTTGAAGTATTCAATGTATTAATTCAAAAATATTACTATGGCAGAGATACTTAAGATTTCAAAATTTAAAAAGCATGCATAAGTTGTAGGAATGATTGTAGGTTGTTTGTTATCTGAAAATTTCGTACTCGACATTAAATAGAGATTGGCATTTGCACTATTTATACGGAGGAAATTTATTTTACTTAAAAATTGTCACTTAAGGGTTTTAATTGAAATCCGTGAAAAATAATGCATTTCCTAGCAAAATTATTTGGTACAAAATGTTTCCAACTTGAATTATTCCCAATTCCATACATGAAACAAGAAACGAATGTTTTGCGGAACATTGAAATGTGCAACTCGATATTTTTTTAAGGAAAACGGTTTCATTGTTACAACCCTGTTATTACGATTCGCCGTTGCATATAACATATAAGCAAAAATAAAATATATTCCAATTTTTTTCCATCATCCCTGTAGATCATGCATAAGCAATATTATTGGATTGAACTCAAAATTAACATACTTTAAATACATTTTTATGAAAATAAAATTGATTCACCTTTTTACATATTTTAATGTTAAAATAAAAGTGATGAATCGAATTTAATGAATTTTGAATGAGTGCTATCTGTTGAATTAAATATGAGCGCAAATACGTAGATTTTAGCACAAGAAGTATTTAAATTTAAAAATATTAAAAATTTCACCCTCTCAATTTTTTTTTATAAAAAATAGGTTAAAAATGTAAAACCCTTATAGTTGTTATCTATTAAATAAAAATATTAATGATCTTGAAATTTAAAGAATTTAATAAAATTTAAGCATTTTTAAGGTTGTTGACGTTAAGAACTTAAAAAAATAATGAACATGGAGTTTAAAAGTTTACTGTTCAACCAGAAATTTATGAAAATGTTCGTGAAAATCTCTTCGTCTACTGAGACGATTTTAGTCGAGAGTTAAATAAACTCACAAATAAAAAATGTCAATGATAAATGGGCAACTGTGTTCCCGGCCGTACATGGTTTGTGCAGATGCAAATGAATAAACTAGCTGAAAATCGCAAATGTTTCCCCTATTTCTCTGGAATCTTAAATCTCATCTCTATTTAAGATTTTTGAAAAAACAGTGAACGTAAGACGAACACAGAGAGTATAAAAGCGTCATCTTATGCGCTGTTGTTGTTTTCTGTAAACTTTCTGTCGCTTTCTTTAAATTTATTAGTTATTACAGTTAAACATCACATGGAACTTAACTAATTTCAGAAGCGGTATGTAGCTATTAGTAAAATTCTATAATAAGGGTGCGAAGCAAACTTATGACGTATTAATTATGGCATAGACAGCAAATTTCAAACAATAATTCAAAATGTAAAACGAAATTTTACCCGAACTAAATTTAATTATGTATAAAATAGGTATGTATACCAGTTTTCCTTATTTTCGTAAATCGCTTTAATATCAAAATAATTTTAAAATTAATTTACATGGGAGTTTGTCATATTAAAATTTGAGGATTTGAGCCTATATACTCTTGAATAATTAAAAAAAATTATATTTTAAGATATGTTTGTATTTATGTATTATTTTTATCATTGTAACACAGTAAGTAAAATACAGAGAGCTTCAAAAAGTAAATAAAATAAGGAAAATTTCCCAAAAGTTCATTGAAAAATTCATGGACAATGACACAATACGTAGGTTGACTGTCCTAAAATAAGTTCCTATACAATATAATAAAAGATTGCTACTCTGTCCTACCTTACCTATACATTTATACAGTGTAGGTATTGCTGCCATCAAGATGCGGCAGTATTGAATATTGAAGAAAAATACAAATTATAGGTTTGTTTTTAATCTGACCTTGAGTACGCAAATAAATATTTTCATAGAAAAGTTCCATTTTCTATTTAAAATTTATCAAAAAAAAAATTATTTATATAAAAATATTTTATAAATTTTTAATGAAAAATATTAAAATAATCAAAAGAGTCGTAAAAACCAACTTTAGCTTTACCGTAAATTCATTTAAGAACTTTTAGTCGATTTTGTTCTATTGGACACCTCTGACCTATTATTTAACGAAATTAATTTGATTTTTCTGAATTTATAAAATATAAAAAATGAGTCGACGTGAATCATACATAGAAGATGAGGATTTTGACCAAGCTTTAAATTATTCAGTATTTCGAAAAGATTTATATAAAATTTTCGATGCTCATCGAAATAAAGAGTTAATCATTGGAGAATTAGAAAGTGAAATGTCCACATTTGCTAGAGAAAGTGAACGTTTGGAACGGCAACAACTAAAATCTACCCATGGACCTACTGCTGAAATTTACGATCAGGTTCAAATTAAATTCCTGCTTTTTTATTAAATTTATAAATAAAATATTGTTTATTTGTATCGTAGTTTTATCGGGATCACAAGTTATTGTTAAAATTGTTTCAACTTTTGGGAGTAATGCCTATTATTCGAGAACCGGGAGCAGTAAGTATTTGTAAATTTTTAAAATTCCCTGACATTACATATATGTAGTTCCGTAATTAATTTTGAGTTCTTGTATGTACAAATAAGGTCTGCTCTATAATTGAATTGAAAACAACAAACCGGAAATAAAATTTAAATTTTACATTAATTAATATTTTCCATTTAAATTTGTAGGTCGCATTCAGATGGATTTCATGGCCAATGATATATGCAGTTATAGTTTATTCAATAGCAACTGTAATCGTAATTTTGGTTGGTAGAGCTCGTGCAAACATTTTATTACAAACTTCGAAATTTGATGAATATATATATGCAGTTATTTTTCTAATATTTTTGGTACCACATTTTTGGATTCCATTCGTTGGTTGGGGTGTAGCAGGTGAAGTTGCACGCTATAAAACAATGTGGGGTACATTTCAAGTATAAGAAATCTAAGGTTGAAATTTATGTTGAATTATTAAAAATATTAATTTTAGGTTCGTTATTATCGTGTTACTGGGACAACTTTAACTTTTCCAAATTTAGCAATTTTAATTGGAGTCATGTTTATTGGTTGTGTTTTTATTGCAATTCTTTTTTTAGTTTCATTACAAAATCTATTAGATGGTAAGATTGATAACTCATTTTGTATTTATTCACATATGCTCTTAAAAATATTTCTTTTAAAGGATTCTTGTTGTGGCATACAAGTGCCTATTATCACATTATAATAATGATAAATATGAATGCTTGTTTATGGTATATAAATTCAACAGCAATTAGAATTTCAGCAACAAGTTTATCTAATCAATTCCAAACTGTAAACATCTCTTCTTATATGGATTATAAAATTATTAAGAGAGATCTTATATTGTATATTCTAGGATATTCATATAGAGTGTAATGCATCAATGATATCACAATATCGATATTTATGGTTAAATTTAAGTGAACTCTTACAATCACTAGGCAATGCTTATGCTAGAACTTATTCAACATATTCTATATTTATGTAAAATTATTGAACAATATATACATGTAGTGTAATTAGCAAATTTCCTAAGCGTATTTTTAATTTTTTAGGTTTGTTAATATAACAATATCAACTTACGGTGCTCTATCAGGATTTCTTGATCATGGCATTGAATTAAAAGATGTTGGATTACTTGTAATTGCTTTGTATTGTTCGATTCTATTATATGTTTTTGCTGATTGTTCTCATAAAGCAACTGAAGTTGTAGCTCGAGGAATTCAGGATACACTGTGTTCGGTTGATTTACATAAAGTTGATCTGCAAACTCAAAAAGAAATTGATTTATTTATTGTTGCAATTCGTATGAATCCAGCTGTTGTTGACTTGAAAGGATTTGGAAATGTTAATAGGGAACTGCTTACATCGGTAATGTAAAATTTTTTAATTGGAAATTGTGAATGATTTTTTTTATTTTTTTGAACCTTAATTTTAGTCTCTTGGAATTATTTCAATTTATCTTCTGGTGCTATTACAATTCAAATTAAGCTTGCAAAAAGGTATTTAATTATGTGGACTATGTAGCTTATAAAGAGTGGACGTTGGTGTCAAAATCAAAAATTTTTTCTGTATTATCGGCAATAAATGGTTCTTTTAATGGTGCATAATGTTTTTTTTAATAAAACAAATACATGCATAATATTATGTAATTTAAAACTTTAGTATTTGGGAACTCTAGTGAACAGTAGAGTTAAGTTGTAATGTTACTTTTCAAGAATAGAATTCAATGGATTTTAGCTTTTTTATGGTTTTAGATGTAGAATTCAACATCAATTTTATTTTCGAGGCGCTGCTATTCGAGGCTAAGTAAAGCACTATGAACGGTGCTTTACTTTTCTACTACCTTTAGAAAAGTAAAGCACCGTTCAAATATTATCAATTGCTGTAGATTATACCAATGTTTTAAATTTAACGTTACTTACTTTTGATAATGCAGACCACTAATCACATTCTTTTTGTACGGCTTCCTTCATGAAAGAAAATTCTATTTAATAAAAAACGTCTGTGTTTCATAGTCACACATAACTACAATTGTTCAAAAAAGAATGCTAGGTGGCTTGTGAGCGCGGCGAATATTATAACAAAAATTTACTAAAGACCCAAACTAATTTTTTAATCCGTTGTTTATGGAAAAGTTCGTATTACGCTTTTAGGCGCTCTGTAATCGTCAAAAGGAATTAAATTTATAATTTCATTTCAATTCTGAAATGTCAATTTTGGCATTTGAACACCTGTTTTTAATTAACTTTATTTGTTTACAAAAATTCATTTTTCAGGCAGTATTTTTTTAGTTCATTAAAAATTCTTAAAATTGAAATTTCAAAATTGGAAGTTTCATGCGAAAAGTTTATTTTTGAAAGCGACGTTAGTTACAAAAAATCTGGAGGTATAGTTTCAATTATATTCAACATAACGTGAATACAGTAAGTTTGTTAAATTAATTAGATATTTTGCTTGCCTTTTAAGTTAGAAAATGTGAAATTTTACTCAGTGTGATTTGCTGTACTAAGTTCCTTATAATTTGTTTTATATTTAAATCGATTAATTGATTATTAATATTACAATAATTTTAATTTTGTTATGCAAAGAAATCGAAAATGAACCTGCTTATATACATAATATGTACATACATATATACATATGTGTAGAAGTTTAAATTGAATTTAGTTCATGATTTAAAATTTTGTGCATGCAACTTCATTTATACTATTGCTGCGACATCTATTTTTCAGGTAAATTACAACAAATAACACAAAATAAATTTATTCTTAACAACGATTGCGCTTCCAAACAATCAAAAATAGAACTATACTATAATAATAAAACGATATTGCCATACATCAGTTTTTCGAAATCACCATTCACAAAAAGTTTTTTCGCATTATTTTCGCGTAATTTTTTTAAAAGTAGAATTGAAATTAGTATTTAAACCTTATGTTTTAAATTACGGTTTTAAATTAAAACGTTTATGATTTATATGTATTTACTTTCAGACTAAAAAGTAACAAATTTTATAATTATTGAAATGGATGTGCTAGCTACATTATTGAATTGCATACAATTTGCTGCTATTAAACATAAAGATCAAAGACGTCTTGATTCTACAAAAACCCCATATATTAATCATCCAATTAGAGTTGCAACAATTCTTGCAGTTGAAGGAAGTATTAATGATCCCGTTGTACTCATGGCAGCAATTTTGCATGATACTGTAGAAGATACAGCTACAACATTTGTAGAAATTGAAGAAAATTTTGGAAAGGAAGTGTGCGATATAGTAAAGGAAGTTACCGATGATAAAAGTTTAGAAAAGCAAGAACGTAAAAGATTACAAATTGTAAATGCTAAAAAATCTACCCATAAAGCAAAATTAGTAAAATTAGCTGATAAACTAGATAACTTAAGAGATTTGAAAGAATGTTTACCAGAAGGTTGGACTGAGGTAAAAATTATGACCAACTTTTAGTTTAATAGGTAAACTTATGTAATAGGTAAAACTTTCGTACTTTCAGGAACGTCGAAATCAATATTTTGTTTGGGCCAAGCAAGTTGTTGATAATTTAAGAGGAACAAATGAATATATTGAAAAATTTCTAGATGATATTTTTTATGAAAGAGGACTTCAATTAATGAAAAGTGAATTTTAATAAAGAGAAGAAAATACATGTACATATTTTTTAAAAATTTAATATTAAAAAAATATTTTTATTTTTCATACTTATAACTAATGTTGTACGAAACGAAAAATTAAAATATTTGTAAATTCTTTTACATGGTCATTTGAGCTCTGGAAAAATCAAGCTTTTGCTTGATTATTCTTACAAAACTCAATCATATAATCAGCTAATCTTTCTGTTTCAGCAATTGTTATAGCATTATATAATGAAGCACGAATTCCTCCAACACTTCTGTGTCCTTTCAGTTGAATCATACCTTCAACTTCCGCTCCTTTTAAGAATTTATTTTCCAAATCGTCATCACCTTTTATTGAACCAATTCTAAATGGTAAATTCATACGAGATCTTGCATCAGTTACTACTGGACAATTATAAAAACCATTAGATTCGTCAATTACTTTATAAATAAGTTGTGATTTTATATCTGCATTTTTTGCCATTCCGTCAATCCCACCATGTTTTTTAATCCAATCTAGTACACAGTCTATAACATAAATCCTAAAAGACAATTTTTGAATTTAGTAAAATTTTCTAATTGATTGTAAATAAAAATTAAAAAGTTTACCCAAAACATGGTGGAGTATTGTATAATGAGTTATTTTTTGCAAGAACTGCAAAATCAAATACTGAAGGTGTTATTTTCATTGCATGACCAATTAAATCATCACGTACAATTACAATTGTTACACCAGCTGGACCAACATTTTTTTGTGCACCAGCAAAAATAAGACCATATTTTGAAACATCTACTTTTCTACTTAAGAAATTTGACGACATATCACAAACCAATGGAACATCATTAAGACTTTTAGGCATAAAACCAAATTCAACACCATCAACTGTTTCATTATCGCAATAATATAAATATGAGGCATTTGGATCTAATTTCCAAACATCCTCACTAGGAATTTGTTGAAATTTTTCTGCTTTGGGTATTACTAAATTAACAATACCATATTTAGTAGCTTCTTTAGCAGCCTTCTCAGACCAAGATCCTGTAACGATATAATCAGCAGCACCAGTACGTCCCAATAAATTCATACAAACTGCTGCAAATAATCCGGTTCCACCACCTTGCATAAAAAGAACTTTATAATTGTCTGGTATACAAAGAAGTTCTCTTAGTTTTTTAATGGCACTCTCATGAATTGCATTATATAAAACTCCTCTATGCGACATTTCCATAACGCTAAGTCCATGTCCTTTATAATCAACAAGTTGTTTTTGGACTTCAACAAGTACCTTAATTATTAAAAATTAAAAAAAAAACGATAATTTTAATTAATTTTTATAGCCAAAGCCTAAGTTATAAAAGTATACAAATAATACACAATTTTAGCTATAACACATACATAATGTATGGATATGTAAAATACATAATTAAGGTTTTAGTCATAATGCAAATTTTTAAACGTAGACGTTGCAATGTCAACTCCTTTCGTTTGAAGATCTTAAGCAAATATTAAACATTTTTTTTTCTCAAAAAACCTTCGGAACACTTAAGCTAATTTAATTAACTTTGATAAACTTCTACCCCCAAAAAGTAAATTTATTATTTTATATATATTACATTATATTACATACATATATACATGTGTTCAAATTTTGTTGGTATTTTTGAAAAGCCAGACACTGAAAGACGTCAATACCATATCAAACACATTTTCATGCAAATACTTTTTCCGTTTTTTTAGTGAAAGTCAATGTACTTTAAGGAAATCAAGTTCAAAATTTTATTCCAAATTTTTTCAAAATTCATTTTTGAATACTAAAATTTTCATATATTCAAGAATATTCTTATCAATGTCAATACATTAAGTATGCATATACATATATGTAGCTATAATTATTATTGAATTAAAAACAATAATAAGAATAAATATGTAATCAATTTTGTAAACAATATTTTTAATCTTTATTATTAAGAATCTGGTTTTTATTATTGCATTCCCTTGCATTACAAGCTTGTTTATTATATGTACATATATTGATAATTATTGTATGACCTAACTGACTCCAACAAAACTACAAAAACACATTTACAAATAATGTTTTTTCCGGAATTATAACAAAATAAATTGATCAATAATAATAAAAAAGAAAGTTCCCGAAATGATAATAGCACTACTCTACAAAACTCATTTGAAATTCAATATCATTAAAATTATAAGATTAGAATTTTATTTATTTAGACTAACTACATTTTCTAATAGACAATAAATTTTTTTACATTCTTAGACTGACAACGTAGCGATTGACCAACACAAATTATATGCATACATACATACATATTCACTCATAACTTAATATTCAAAGCTCATATCAAATTACCTAGAACCCTAGAAAAATAATATTGAAACTTTATCTGAAATTAATCTTACCTCTTTAGGTAATTGTGCTGGTCCGGCAGCAAAATTGATGACCATTTTTTATTAATTAATATAGGTGTGTAGTGTATGTTTAATTATTGAATTAAATTAAATAAAACAAGAACAATAAACGCTGACTTAATTAATAAATTTTTTTTTAAATAAAAATTTAAATTTTGTACTAGACTGAACTGTTCCACTCAATGTAATTTAATGAACTGAGTACTGAAAGATTGCCTTATATTTAAAATATGAATAAATCGAAATAAAATTGTAAAAAGATTATTTTCTCTTATCTCTTTATTAAGTTCTATGTTCCAATGGACTGCTGTATTGATAATACGAGTGTGATCAGTGTTCCCACTCAATAAAAACAAAATGTATCCAATTTCAAGAACAAAATGTATCCAAAATGTATCCAGCCTCCTAAAGTAGAATTATTATACTAAATTGCCTTATTTTATACCAATAAACTCTTAAATAATATTAATTTGCTTTATTCAACAATGTAAGTTTCGTTATTTATAGTAAATTCTTTTAGAAATCACACGCAATTTCTATTACATTTTAAAATTTAAGGTCAGAAAATATATGTTCTGTAGCTGTTGAACTATGCGGTAAAAACTATTCAGCACGAAAACGGGCAAATTTTATTTAGTCAGCAAATAACATTTTTTGGAAGATAATGCACTTAAAAGTTATAGGACTTTAAAAGTTTTCTAACATTTATTTAGTGTTCGAGAAAGAAATGTATCCATATTTCAGCAAAATTTTAAAATGTAGCCAATTCCGACATTTTAGCAGATTTGAGTATCTTTGTATCCAAGCTAAATTTTAAAGCAAAAATGTATCCAAATGGATACAATTGTATCCAAGTGGGAACGCTGAGTGTGATACTTGTTCATTTTACTTTGCATACAAAAGTTAGTTAAACAAAACGGACTACATACATAAAAACTGGCCGTTGTTTTGTTTTTGTTTTTCGTTAATTTTTTTTGGTTTCTCTCTCGAGTGAGTTTATTTTTTCAAATACTAGGATTTGGGAGAAGTAAACAATTTAAAAATTTTTCAAAGCATAAGTACTGTGCCTGCAATCTTTTAAGTTCATTATTCAATTACTTCTTTGCTGAGCATAATGTTATGATTACAAATCCCTGTATCTATGAATCATTACGTGAGTTTGTTTAAGATAGTAATATGGGTAAGTATACATAAAAATGTAGTGTACACTAGCATTTCTTTAATTTGCCTCTCATGATCAGAGTTATCAAAACACAAATTCGCGAATCGTAAGTATCGGCGCTCGCTTAAGATAAAAAGAAAACAAATCGTTGAAAAGAAATGGAACCTTAAAAGAAAAATTTAAAAATTATGTTAGAGCTCTTCCAGATTTTTATTTTTGCAATTACTGTGCGATTGTAAATTTGTTCCGCGGAAATATAGTTGCTTATGCATCAATATAAATAAAATGCGTAAACTAAAAATTGCAATCAGTCTGTAAAAAATTAGAAACTATTTGATTACTTAATTGTATGCTATCATACAGTTGCTTGTATACGCATGTGTCACAATCAAACATTTCTAAAGCTAGAAATTGCATGTCTGCAAGAACCCTTAATGGCAATAAGGTAACGGTAAAAGACTTTAGTTTTATTATTATTAAAAAATAATAGAAACAATTAAAAATATCTTATAGTTCACATATGATTCTTGCTGTAAATAAAGGTTTTTCACCTCTGGCTCTACAATATAAAATGATCTCTTATCAATTTTTTTATTTCACTCAAATTAATAAATTCATTGTAATAATATTTCGAAATGACCATAAGAAATGAGTAAGTAAGAAAGAGTCGAATATAGTTATGTATATGAATTTTGATTAAAAAAAAGCCGGTTTTATACATTTTGTGCAATATTTTTTCTTTTTAAAAATTCCGGAATTTCATTAATTTATTAATTACAAGTTTTGATTCTCTCATTCATTGTGACGTTTGTGTACATTACATACATATACATAACTTAATTATTCAAGGTTTCCTCTCACAATATTATAGTATCTAAAAAAAATTGAATAAATTGAGAATATTTGAGATACAATGAATCCAAATTATTTTGAGTAATTTAAACAAATATAAAAAATTTACTTACGCTCAAACTACAAAAAAAAAACTCACTCGTTTAAAGTTTAATTTGTGATTTATGTAATTTAATATCACTTTGTATTTGTAATAAAAACTCATTAAATAATATTATAATTTACACCATGATCAGAAATAAAACTGATCGTTCTTTTAAACTGTTATATAATAATATATTTTAAAATAATAAATGGAATATTACGCGCTCCCTGAATATAATGAATGTAAAGTGTTTGACGGAAAAATGTTACAATGAGAACTCTAATGAATTATAACGGTTAGAGCTTACCGTTATTGCATATTTAATAAAAATTTTCAATATTGAAATTAATCAGTCACTGTAGTTCTTTGCGTTACACTTAGAAATTTCCGCCTTTTCCAGCCACGTTCGTCACTTTTGATTATGCAGTCTAATTTGAAACTTTTTTGTTTGATCGGAGTTCTCGATAAAGTTAAGGTAATTGAGCTTTGTTTGATGCTTTTGAATAAAGTTTTTCTTCTATTTCAAATTTAATAAAATTCAGATGTGAGAGCTTTTTTCAACGCCTGCATGTACATTTAGTTTTTGATTTCAATTCGATTTGGGTAACAAAAAAGTGACACACAAAAAATAAATTCAAATATGTTTCCATATTATTTGGTATGCCATACGGTGTACCTTCATACCACTTATACCATACCTATATACATACATATATACAATATATTATTAATTACTTATCAAAATCAAACAGAAAATCAACTCTTTTTTTTAACTTTTTTTTTTATTTTTGCATTTTTTGTTAGTTTAGTTTTAAATTGCAACATTTTTCATAAATACCGTTGTATAGTGGTAGAGTTTTTAACTAACAAGCTTTTAATTCGTTCAAAAGTATGAAAAAAGTATTTTTTTATTTTTTACTTTAAATTTTTTTTTTAAATTAAAGAAAAAACAGTGGAAGGGAAAAACTTTAAAACGGTTTGTATTCAAGTTCCGAAAAAGATTTTTAATTGAAAAATTTATAAAAATTGAACGATAAGAAATTGTGCCGCGTTGCATTAGCGTTTATTTAAATTTAAATTGGCGGATCAGGATTTATAGGGATAAAATAACAAATAAAAAGGATTTTAATTTAATTATTGCTGTAAAAAGAATAGGATTACAAATTCGTGAATTATTTAATTTATTGTTAAAGACTTTCAAAAATATTGACAAGAAAACCAATTAAGAAACAAACCAATATAAAAAGAGTGAATTGCAATTTTTAAAAAATTTTCATAACCAAGAGTTTATAAGCATTGTTCTAAATTTATTTAATAAAAAATTTCTATTTATTTAAAATGAAAAGTGTTCATGTAAAAACAATTTTATTTATTTTTGGAATCGCAACAGTTAGTAATGGATTTCCAGATGGAGCTCCTGCTGATGCATGTGTTCGAAGGGAACGTGTTAATCAACCAAATCATGGTGCTGCAAGATCTCAAAAATTAGAAACTTTACCGTATATTGTGGTCGCAAGTCAAAGTCATTATAATCCTGGACAAAAAGTTACAGGTATGCTTTTATTTTTGAATCAGCTGCACAGTAATTTTTTGATTTTTTAAACTTTTCATAATAAAATACTAAAATAGTTGCAATTTTTTCTATTCGATGTTACTGCTCTTTTAATTTTGATAATAATTACCTAATTAGAAAATTTTTCAAAATTAAGACAATAAACAGACTAAAGATTGTAATGATGGCTGTTTTGGTCCTTTTGTATGTGCATTGTGAAAGTGCCACTAACATAACATAAAATACAAAATTTTACCATCCCGAATTTTGGTCATGTTTTTGTTTTTAAACCTTTTATAATGTTTTGTTTAATGGCAGTATAATTTAATTCATAAAAATTTAGATTTTAACTTACCAAGCTTATTTATCAAAAATTTGATATTTCGGATTGTATTCAAAGATTTAACCCAAAATGTGATAAAAATTTCATATTTAATGATAAAAAAAATTAAAATATTTTTAACAATTTTGCAATTTAAAATATCGAAATTCCTTTAAACACTTTAAATGTAATTCCAAACTTATCAATATATTTCATATTATTTTTTCATCATAACAGTTCAAATATATCCAGCACATAATCCAAATCAAATATTTCGTGGATTTTTCTTGCAAGCACGTGATGCTGAAACTAATGAATGGATTGGACATTGGGATCAATTACTTAATATTAAAACAATTCCAGAATGTTCAGCTGTAACACATGCTGATCCAAAGAATAAAACTGGTGCAACATTAGTATGGAATGCTCCACATCATAAATCTGGTCAAGTTTATTTTACGTAAGCTTTTATATGCTATTAATATTAGTACATAATTAATTAATTAATCCCTATAATAGAAGTTAATATCAAATTTTTTGCAAAATTTATTTTAAATTCTAATTTCATGTCAGAGTTAGTGAAGTGTTAAACATACTAGTATGTATTGCAAAAATTGCATTTTATTTTGGAATTTAAATTGTTACAAAATATTTAGACACGGAATACTAATTATAGTGTTGCAGGGATGAGTTGAAATATTTTGTTTTTGAAAAGAAGTTTATTAAACAAATTCTAAGAAGACCTTAACAGCACTTCTATTTAATTTCATTTTAATACCCAATCACGTGAAAGCTGTACAAAATTTAATTTTCTTTATTAGAAAACAATTTTATAAATTCAAATTTAACTAAATCAAATACAACTCAATAATATCTAATTAAATAATACATAGGAAAGTGAAAACAGAGAATTTTCCAGCAGCGACAAAATTATCCAACACCCCAGCACCCAATCATTCAATTATTATTTTTACTCGTTTTCTTATGTCGTTCTTTTTGCTCAAAAATAGAAAATTTTATACTTTTTTACAAAAAAAAAAAAACAAAATAAGAAAATTACCCAAAACGGTTCTTATTATACAAAAAAGTGTTTTGCTTTCTTGTTTTCTTAAATTGCACCGCACCCCACCATACTTATTGTGTGGTGCCATGCCAAAATAAGAAAATAAGTTAATCGTTTCTTTTTTTTTCATGCTTTTAAAGGTTTTATTGCGCTTATTAGGAAGTTTCCAAAACAAAAATATTAAACCGTTCAGCTCGAATTTTAGTCCTTTTATTTTAAGATTTTTTTTTTTCTTTTCTCTCAAAAATGGTATTGGGGGCACCATGGAAATCAATAATCATAATTTCATTAAGGACATTATAGTAATCCAATTCTTATTAGGTTATTTTTATATTATTCTTTTAATAGACGGAACATTACTAAATATATTTTAATAAAAAACAATATAATTTGTATAGCAATGAATGTTTTGAAGGTAGGAGTAGGACTATAGGTATAACTATATGGTATAACAGTTAAGATTCATTCATTATAAATTATTATAATTGTTTTTTAAATTATACAAAAAATTTGAATTTATGAAAGTTTTTTAAAATTCTAGAAACAAAAATTAGTACTAGTTGCAATATTTGAAGTTGTTATTAGGTCACAATTTGACTTTATGTTATTTTCATATAACATTTTAAAAAGGAATATGAACAAGCCATTGAATACATTCTAGCATCAACCATTTCAGCACTATAAATTTTGTGAATTACAAGGAAACTGGAAGTAGAGTTAAAGTTATTTTAATGATATTATTATTGGCATGACTACAAATCATTAACTGAGTAAATTTGGGATTAGGTGTATATTCTTTTATTCAAATTTCATACAATAAATTGGAAATGGCTACAAATTACAATAAGATGCGATTAGGATTCATATTTACTTATAATATGCACAAATAAATCAAAAACATACTGGAAAATAATTTACTGGAACATAATTTTGGAAAAATTTTCGTATTATGAACTTAAACTATTTATAAGAATATCATGATTTGCAAAAGTGTAATAAAACATTTTTTTTCTACTTAACTATATAACAAATGTTATGAAAGAAAAATATATTATTGCGTTATCATAAAAATGTGCGTGAGATTAGGTTTCCTTAAATTAAAATATAAAAGTAAAACCATCGTATATAGTGGAAAAAAAGCCGAAAAGTAACTAACAATGAAGTTACTAATATTCGTTTAACAATCGCAATATAAAATTCTATGTATATAAATAAGAAACACGGTACCTATTAAAAATTATATTAGTTCGTTTCTCTCGATATCCTCCATATTTTATAGTATATAAGGTATATTATAATATGCTGTGTTTGTGTGATATTCTCAAAAAGACGCAATTCATAGTCACGTCTAAGACGATATTACATTTAAAAGAAATTATTAAACTTCTACACGAAATCAATGTCAATCACATTATTTAGAATTTCAACTAAGTTAAATAATATAAAAAAACATGTAACTATAGGAAGGAGTAGACAAGTAGACATATTTTTTATTCAAATATTTCCTAAAATTAGTTTAAAAGTAGCATAGAGATTGACATCAATTATAACAAATAAGAATTATTGTTAAGAAGAATGGAAACTAATGAGATAATTTAATTTTTTAAATGTTATACTTAATATTCGAATACTTTGTTACAGAAAAACAAAATGAATTTAATTATCTTCCGAAAATTATATTCAAATTAAGGGATTTTATGTAGTGTCTATTCAAAACCATTAATAAACAAACCTTGCGTTTCATAATGCAATAATACAGTATTAAAATTCTATACGAGAACTTATTTCTAAGCTGAGTGTAAAGGTAAAAACCTATTACTGCAATATAGAACTGAAGCAAAGTTGATTAAATTTCAAAGTGAAAGCCATTTAGTATACTGTAATCTTAAATAACACGCCACATGTTTTTCAAAATTTACGGACATAGAGGTGAATATGCATTTTATAAGAAGCCTTCAAAAATTGCAGCACAAATACGAGTATTGCATAAGAAATCGAATTTTCAAATCGAAACAGTTCGTGATTTAATTAAAGACTTGCTTCGTTAATTTAAGTAGGTGCAGAGCTCTCAAAATTAAATTACAATTTAATTTAAATTGCGAAAAATTGTTACTGTCGCTTTATTTAAGCAATAATTTGCTGATACTGTCTTAAATTATTTTTAAAGCTTAATGTTGCTAATGACATATGCTAATCCCTCAAACATACAATATAAACTCATATATTTGAATAATTTTCCATGTTTCCAAATTATATCAAAATAACTTTCAATCAAAATATTTCATAAAGTGCTATGTTAATTCTTACATTATTGTGTTGGCTTCAATTCTAATTTTATAATATTACTCAACATTAAAATTGCTTCCATATTCCATTAAAACATAATGCTTTTCCGATCAACTTCCTATTCCTATATGGTCAATATTATGTGAAAATGAATTGAGTAACCTTAACAATAATCAAGAATATTATTTAATTGGTTTTTTTTTTCTTCAATATTTTTAATGATTTAACAATTATAATGTTAATTTAACCTCTCACATAATTTAATATTTAATTTGATAGTATACTTAATACCCGCAGTCATGTTGTGTATTATTAAAAAAAAAATTGCAAAAGAAATCAATGGACGATGATTAAAAAAATAAACAAAATAATTAAATACATAAATGCTTGCCATAATGCACAAAAAAAAAAACAAAATTTCAAAATTTTCGACCGGGAAAATCAGCACCATTCACTAAATTTCAAAAACAAAAAAAACAATGCATAAAAAATATGTGTTTGTATAGAGCGGGTATGTGTTCATATGTATGTATATAAACAATATATTTATAATATTATCTATAGATTGTGCAGCAATTAAATTTAATAACCATCGATGAAAAAAAAAAATTTCTAGGTTAGAAAACTTGATTTTTTTTCGCGTTTGTTTAAAATTTACTTTAATCTTTGTTTTTAGTTTTTATTGTTATGATTAATTTTCCAGTATAATTATTTCACATCTCTTAAATACCTATATTTGTTGACTTTAAAATGATTTATTATTAATTCAGTAAATTGACCAAAAAAATTAACCATTACTCGTAATTTACTGTATAACTGTAAACACTTCAACAATTAGTGCATAAACGAGTCTGTGGAATGACAATATAATTGTATACCTACATGGTTTTTTATATTGTATGTAAACACGCATATATCTCTTGTAGTACAGTTTTAAATTAGCCCATTAAATAATTTATACGAACACACTAATATTTAACATAGCGTTGATGGTATTACATATTTGGTTTATATTGCAATCTCAAATTTTTCTGTTAATCTATTAATTAACTAGTTCAAACTAGGTTTTAAATTCCGTCTAAAATCTATCATCTCACAACTGATTGGTTTTCATAAAAGTTACTTCAAAATAGTTGAAATGATTTTTATTAAGAGCATAGTTAGTAAATTGTCAAATTCTCGCGTACTCCCTCCGTATAAGTCTCAATAATACATATTTAGAGACAGTCAATTGAAATATGTACATACATACATATGTAATTCTCTTCTTATTAATTAAGTTTGCATAAATTTAAGAGAAATCTTTGAGTAGTTCTAATTTTATACTGTAAAAACATAGCGTGATCTTAGACTAAATAACTAACTGCAATGTAAAGTAAGTAATAACTGCCGAAAAATAATGTGATGAATATGGAATATATTTTTGACAATAGCAAAATAGTTCATTTGATTTGAAAGCGTTACTCATATAATAACTTCACTATATTGCCAATACTATAGCATTACTTAACTTAATTTCCAACATTTGTTTGCCCGTAAATAGAAATCAGTTTTCACTATTAATATTATAATAATTATAGGCTATGTGTGAAAAGCTCTTTTATATTAAGCTTGAATTGAGTTGTTTATTATTTGGTTGAGGCATATGCTTTAGGATATGAAATTCGATAACTCCCAAGAATTTGTATCCTATAAATGTGAATGATACAGTTTAAATGTTTCGAAAATCACTTGTATTAAAAATTTTAAACTTTTTTTTGTGAACACTACACAAATATGGTCCACTAAAAGATTTAATATATAAATAGAATATGCTTTTATAAATATAAATACCTACATGGTTTATAAATACATAGTTATATGTAAATATGCCTGTATCAGACATAATAATCAAAAAATGTATTTCATAGCTAACAGAAAATTGAATGTTTACGTATGACTTATGAGATACTCACATTATAAATATTATGTTGTATTAATATACATACCTACATGCGTGTATACATACCTACTTGTTTATATTTTGATTTTGCTTTTATAAAATTAAGCTTTAAAGATTTCCCAGATTCTGATTTTGTCACTGATTTTGGTTTTTTAACATTTTTCCTTTCAATATTTCGTAATTTTTGAATTTCGCAGAAAAAGTATTTATCGTGTGAATTAATTGGTTATTATTTTATTAAACTCACTATTATGGTGGTTCATATAAATATATATGTATGTACATTAGTACATAATTGTGGTCATTATATCAAACGGGCAGGTATGCATAAGTATTTAAGAGTTTCAAAAATTTGTGCTGCAAATATAATCTGTTATCTTGTACCATGTAGTACCTATGTATGTGCAAAATACGTAGAATACATAATATATAATATGTATATAATATAAGTAGTCGGTTTTCAAGTCACAAAATTTCATTGCTATCATTTATTCGCTTTAATTACGTAATTATGTGTAAAATATTCCAAAAAAATGTTAAAAGATTTTGTTAAAAAAACTACAAATAATTTTACAGATTCTATTAAAACTATATTGGAAAATTTTACAATTGATATTTTACCAATTTATACAAGTCCTCGGTAGTATAGTGGTCAGTATCCCCGCCTGTCACGCGGGAGACCGGGGTTCGATTCCCCGCCGGGGAGGAATAAATTTTTTATATTTTTTTTTCTTTCCTTTTTTCACATATAAATTTTTTTGATTGGAAATTTTCTGAAAGTTGACTGGAGCCAATCAATTTAATTGCCAATTTGGTTTTATAGTTGAAAATACTGTTTTGCATAACGATTCTTTGATTTGGTACCTATTTTGTGATAATAATAATATTTTTCTATCAACTTGTTTTTGATTCTGTTTTGTAGCTCCAATGTAATCCATATAACAAAAATATAGCCGATCAAATCCATGATTTAAAAAATAGTATATTGTGTATTTCTTTAAAAACCTACGGGAAAGTAGGAGGATCTCGCCTTAAGGAACTAATATTTTCACATTTTTTTTTTGTCTACCAAATCTAATTTTTCTATCTTGAAATCAATGTAAAAAAGTTTTGTAAACATGAGGAAAAACAGTAGGAAGGGTAGAAATACGCGCAGGCGGGATATTTTATTGGTAAAATTCTCATTTCACATGTTCATGAGACTAACTTGCATATATTTTAAAGATCAAAAAGATCTAACGTCCGTCAGAGTTTATACATCAAAATTGATTTTACAGAACGCATTTTATTTTCAATGCCTTCTTATAACGAATAATATTGTAATTTTCAAAAACGCTTAGTAGAATGTACTTAATTACTGTACAGTATTTGTGTCTACTTGTATGTATACTTAATGTCAATGATTTTTTCTAAAATGAGTATTTGATTTCTATTTTTTTAATTACCTAGAATTTATAAAGAAGTTCATGGTTTAACCTTTTCACTTCTTATATTTTTAACATACTTATATACGATATATGTACATATCTAGTAAATATGAACTTTATTTAAAATAAGTTCTAATGATATAAATAATTTTATTGCAGAGATAATTCGAGTATCTTACTAACTATATTGTATAACACATAATATGAGCAATAATTAAGAAAAGAATTTTTTAGCATAAGCTAATAGATTTCATACAAAACACTTAACTAACTTAATACACATACCTACATGCATTTGCATCAAAATAATAAATACATTCATTCTAATAACTTTATTTTTACGGTTTTACAATACACGATCATACTTACATATAGTATGGATATATATGTATGTATGTAAGTACATTAAAGTTTAAATTTTGTTCATGTGCAAATTAAAAGCATTCAAAAGCTTTTAAATAATTGATTCTAAATGAAAATCGAGTTGAAAATTAATTAACAATCAATGCGCCTCTTTAACACTATAATTTATCGTAATTTTATCGATTGAAAAAAATATAGAGCTACATATAGCATTCATAGTATAAATGTACTGACTATGTGCACACACATATTATGTACATTACAAATGTAATGAAGAATGATAATTATTATGTTGGGTTGGTTGGTATTTTTGTTTTTAAGAGCACCCACTTGAAATTCAATATTTTTCAACATTTTGATATTATTATTTAGAGTATCAAAGCAAATAATAATGTTGCTTATAGAAATAATACTTTTAACTCGATATTGGCATTAGTATGTACACACTTACATATTTGCATATACATATGTACATACATTCTATTATAAATGCATATTATACAGAGTATGTCTCCATCAGTGTACCAAAAATAAACGGCAAAAAGCCGGTGCACGGTTAATAAACCAGTTTTCTTTTTTTTTTTTTTGTTTTCATTATTGCCTTAAGATATGGGTTAATAATTTATATATTTCTTGTAAATAAAAATAAAAAAATTGATTAAAATTTAAAAAGATTGAATGAGATAGAAAATATTTCGGAGACCTATTTGAACTCCAAATTATAATTGATTTACTACGAATATTCGATATTACAAAATAGTATGTTTTTCTGTCAACATTTTTAATAATGTTAGTTGACATGTTGTGAAAGACACCGCCAAAAAGAGAGGGAAAGAGAAAGAATACTTATATAGGAAAAAATAAAATATACAAATTGATACTCGTTTGTTTTTATTTTTCTTTTTTCACAAAATAAATTTAGAAAATTTCCTTATAATTTAGGTTGGTGTTCTGTAAATATGGAAAGTAAACAAATAAACCAGTTTAATCTATGTATGTATGTACATATGTACATATATATTTATGTATATTATTGTGCAGATAGATATGTGTTGTATGAATTGGTAGTGCTTTACTTAATTTTTGGTTCAATAAACTTAAAGAGCCGGTTATATTGGGAAATAAAAATAAAATAACAAAAAATGACACTAAAATGAAACTATAAGTAATGCAAAAAAACTATTGCGAATTAAATATTGAAATTAGTAGAGGAAATATTTACGTATGTACATATGTAGGTATGTATGTTAAGAATTACATTGTAAGAAAATTGTTGACAAAATACCGCATACACAAGAATATTTTCAGGAAATTTAATTGAGTAGAATTTAATAAAATATGCACTCTGTTAAGCAATTTATTAATCAATAGAGCTAACAATGCGTACTGAACGTACATTGCAAAAAATAGTCACTATTTTGTTAGCCAAAAAATATAACTATAACTTTGTTCTGAAGTTGCTAAAAAAATAACAAAATAGGCAATATTTCTGCCTCCATATTGAATACAAATTTTTTTTGTAATGGTATACATAGCTGATTAGTGACATACAAAATTTAGCTAGATTTTGTAACTACGTTTTCAATTTAACTTGTAAGATTTTGCATGTGTACTTGACAAACAAAACATTTCTAAAATGGCTGCCTAATATTGAAAATTTAACTAAATATTATGACTGTTTCTGCAACCGAACAGACCAGAATTGACGTGATAGAAAATGTTTTGCTCCGATGTTTAATTCAGTAGGAGCAAATGAAAAGCTATGGTAGATGTAGTAATATCTTTTGTTTGAGTGTATAAGGTTATATTCAGAATATGAGATCTTATGTCATTTAAAACGTGGGAAATTTATTAAGAAGATTATTGTTAAAAGTTTCTTTTGCCTCAAAATTACAAAATGTGTGATAATATTCATTTCATAATATTAGATCTAATAAGTCGTTAATGGTGAAAATATACTAGTATAAACAACAGGTACATTTTGTGTATTTATATATTATATAACATGGTATCATATTATGTTTATACACATTTTACCAATAATCTATTACAAAACATGGAGTAAAGTGAATAAAAGGTTAACCCTTACTTATTAATTCTATTATTTTTAATTTACAATTTCTATGAAGCGAGTCCCTCTTATTCTCATAATTTTAGTACCCGCAAACTACATTTCACTTGAATGAGTACAATTATTTTTGCATACTTATATATACGTAATTACATACATAAAAATGTATATGCATGTGTTATCAAACCTTGATATTTTGTTTATCTGCTTCAAACATATGAAAATATTTAATTGTTTAATATGGATGAAAGTATGTAAGTATATATCGTATGAATATAGGAGAGCAATATTTATAACCTACGCGAAATTTTCAAATTTCTTTTCGACCCGAATTCACATTTAGAAATATGAGGTAGGTGTAGGGCACCGTACATAGTTTGTTACATTTTTGTTCCCTTCAAATTAACTCTTTTTTATTACCTAATTTTTTCTTTCAAATCCCACATGAATCACAAAGGTGTTTATTTCTTTTTTTTTTTCTTGCTTTTCATAATTATATAAGGAAGAAAAAGAAGAAAAAAAAGCAAAAATAATAATAAATCATGTTGGAATAAAATCTCATATTTATTTGCTTTTTACTTTTATTTCAACCATAATTTTTTTTTATTTATTTTTCTCACTTTCATTTACACCTTATATACAATATTTTATTTATACTTTTGCTTTTAATTTTTTTTTCTTTTTTCTTTGCACTTTCAGCGGAACTGTTTTACAAGACTATGGAACATTCTGGGGCGATATAGTAGCACGTTATGCCGCTCCTGAACCACATCATCTTTAACATTATTCTTTTAATATTATATAAGATCCATTAACATCATCGTCATCATCATCAACAACAAAAATACTTAAAAAAGAACTGAAAAAAATGAACTAAAAATTTTTAGGAAAATTTATTTAAAAAAAAAAAAAATCGAATTTTAACACATTAGTAAAAGAATATTGCGAAAAATTTTGTATAATTTGCGAAAAAGGTTAATGTTTTTGTAACCATGTAAATGTGAATTTTTCTAAATTAGTAAAAGACAAAAATTTTATTTAATAAAAGTTTGCAGATTGTGTTTTTTTCCCCAATAGTGTTACTTTTAAGTAATAATAATAGTGCACTCTTTAATTGCATGTTTACTTACTAAGAAGTTTTTTTATTATTTAAACGGATTATTTGCTATAGGTACTTGTAATTGTAATTTAAATTGATATGGATAGGATATAATCGACCACATTGTTAAAGAGTTGCATATCAGGTTATGAAAATGTCCTATTTAAAGCAACTACTTTTCATAGAATTAAAAATGTAAATAGAAAAATGTAAATTTGAATTTTAGTAGGGGTTTATTTTTTATGATTCCAGGTTTCCCTGTAAATTTTCCAAGTCAATTTCAATGACAACCAGAACTCAAATATAAAATTTCTAGAAATTCCATCTAGATGTAGTAAAGAATGTAAAATCCTCTTCTAGAAATATAGCAACACAGCAATCTAAAAACACTAATTTTTTTCCTTTTAATTACAATTTTTTATATAATTATTTTTATTTTCATAAAATTCATTATACTCGTATTCTTGCACCTAATTTCCATTTCAAATAACAATATTTTTTACGGTAAAAACTTAAATTCTTATTTCATTCACATTAAATGCATTTCTTCTAATATGCAGGCTTAATGATATGCAACAACATGCAACATCAGCATAATATTGCTTTTATATAATATGAATCCAATTCAAAATTCTAGTACACATAATATTGTGTTTGATGTTATTGCGGATTAATTATAGTTGCTTTTAATTATTTTGTATAAAATTTTAGTACATGTTTATGTTGTTATTATATTGGATTTGGTTCTATCCCGAAATGAAAGAAATTTATGATTTTTATACCCTGCACTTCGTGAAGGGTATATTAACTTTGGTATGGAGTTTGTAACTACTTGAAGGAGTCATCTGCGGTATGGACATATATATATATTCTTGCTCAGCGTAAAATTTTGCGTCGATTTAGACATGTCCGTCTGTCCGTCCGTCCGTCCGTCCGTCCGTCCGTCCGTCCGTCCGTCCGTTCGCACGATAACTCAAAAACGAATAATGCAATCGACACCAAACTTTCACAAGTTTTTTCTTTTGTGCCAAGGACGAGCCCTATTGTTATTGGACTAATTCGGACAACGGGTTCGGGTAGCTGCCATACAACTCAAAGAGTTTATTTTAAATATTTCAAAAACTAATAAAGGTATAAATATAAAATTTTGTATACATGTGTCCAATTATATTCTACACATGCTCTAAAAATTTTTATGGGATAGCTGCACTGGTTCGGGTGGCTGCCATACAACTTCAACAGCAAATTTTTTATATTCGGCAAAATAATAAAGTCAGATTCATGAAACTTGGCAGTCATGTGTCCAATTATAGGTCAAATATATTTCTGAAGTTTTAGAGGAATCGCTTGACAGGTTCGGGTACCTGCCATACAACTCCAGAAGCTAATTTTAAATATTTGGAAAAATTATAAAGTCAGATTCATGAAACTTGGCAGTCGGATGTCCAATTATAGGTCAGACATATCCGTGAAGTTTCTATAGAATGACTTCACAGGTTCGAGTAATTGCTACACAATAACGAAAGGTGCAGGGTATTATTCAATCGGTTTATACCGACTGAAACGTTTTTACTTGTTTGAACTAATATTGACCTACATTTGCATATACAGTGGTTAGTTAAATGAAACGAATCAAATATCCTTTTAATATTTTGATAATTATGTTAACATGGTTTTTCGAAAAACAGAATAATAATAAAACAATATCCTTTTAGGAAAATTTTTATAGGTTAACTAAATTTTTTAATATATTTTTACTGCGATTTGAAATTTAATATACCCTATTAATAATGATGATTGTTATTTGGGCTTACTTTGTTGGAAGATTATATGTATAATGTGTATGTTGGTATATGTGCTTTTATATGGTCACATAGAATTCGAGGCTCATAAATAAATAAATTCAATTTTTTAAATATTTTAATTGAGCATTCATGCATTCTGCATGGTACACAAATATTTTTTTATTATCGTTGGAATACCCCCATATAAATTTCATTTGTATTTATTGAACATACATTTTCAACTGATTTGTAAAGGTGATTTTTCTGAAGCTTCTATGTATATGTGTAAGTACTCATTATATTCAACAGGAGAACATATAAATTTTAATTATAATTATAGTAAAGCTCTCTTCGGGGAGAATTCATTCATATTCTATATATTGTGCCATTTTCATTTATACAAAGTTATTTTCATTATTCATTAAAGTTTAAAAAGCACTTAAAGTTTCCAAATTTTATTTTTGTTTCGTAAGTTTAATTGTAAATGTTTCGGCTCCATTCCTTAGTTTTCTCTTCACTTGTATTTAGCTTGTACTTAAAATTTCTTTTACTATGAAAAACTGTTAAATTTTAAGGAAGTCGAGGAGTAATATTTACCTAAACTATCACCATAACTTTTAACAACAGTTCATCTAAATTAGGATGTTTTACAACCAGAAAAGAGTATATTGCCTTCTTGTTGCTGGAAATATGAGATTACCACAACAAAGTTTAAATTTTTCTTGAAAAACTTCAAGAACTGAATTGGTACTTTTTGTGTTTTTTTTTAAATATCCTTTAAAGTAAATGCTTAACTTCACATACAGTTTTATTATCAATTCGTAGCAGCATAAGTACCCGCACTTAAAAAGTGACGAACATTTTTTAACTTTTTTTCAGGTTTTTATTTCCCACAAAAATTTATGAATTTTCTTTTGAATTTTTTTTTTAATTTTCTTTTTTTTGTTTTTCAATGTAAGTTTATCACAAAAGTTGTTTTCATTTAAAGCTTCTTTAAAAAATTTTTCAAAAATTCACAGTTACTTACCTTGAAATTTTAACAACCATTTTATTCTTATTGCTTTCATAATGCTTTTGTAACAGTTTGCATTGTAAAAGCATGCTGACATTTTAAAATTCATAATATTTACAAGTGAAAACATTTCAGTTGATCTTAGCTGACTGAATTACATACCCTACATTAAAACAATTTTATTGTAAAATCCAAACTTTGTGAATCATATGCATTGAATTTTTGAGGCATATGTAAACCACAAAATAGTTATAAAAACCATTCAAAAATTAACTTACTCTTCATTAAGGTGCAGGTCGTAGGATATAAATTTGCAGAGTTGAAAACAAATAAGTTGAAAGTATGAAAAGGCTTTTAAAAAACAAGACGGTCTCAACTATAATTTTATTGAAATATTTTATATACTACTAAATATTTGAGTAGTAAAAGCTCTAGTAATAAAGTTGAATCAAAGGTTTGCTTTTTTTCCTTGAACAAATGAAAATAAATTTTTAAAAAATATTTCACATTATTCAGATTCCTTTTATTCATACAATCAAAAATATTGCATATATTTAGGATGACAAAAAAAAAAATTTGATGGTGGAGTTAAGATAAGGGTCGGAATCAAATCAAGTAAGTGAGTCGTGATAAATAATTCTATTTTTTGATGGCATGAAATTTTCCGTTAGCTTTTTGTTACAGAAATTTGGGCGACTGTGAAAAACGATATCAGAAATTTAATTTTTATATCGGGTTTTAGGTAACTAGTATTTTTAACCGTCATTTTGTCAGTTCAATATTTAGTTATACTTCACTGCAGAAACTTGCGTTTAAAGATGAAGACGGACGGGCGGACAGAGTGAAGTTAATCAGTACGTTTTTTTAAAGAATGGAAATTACAAATATTTTTAGTTTTCATAAACAGAATGAAATGAAAACATCTTACATAGCTAATCATGATTTTTCCATTTTCATAGATTTTCCAAGTTCTCATGCAAACATATTAAAAGTTTGTACTTATATTTTAACGAAAACAAATGAACTTAAGGATACAATTATTGTGTTTTCTCTTTCGAAGGATCAAAAAACAAAAAAACAAAAAAATGCGTTTATTCACCCCTATTATTTTTTTCCTACAACAAAAAATAAAAAAGAACAAACAAATTTTTTTTTTTTTAATATTTTTGTTTACTTGGGACTGACTCTCTTTTGATTTGAATTTGATTTCATAAATTAGTAAATAGAAAGTTCATAAGGCTAATATCATGAGAAAATATTGGTTTTTAACATTTTGTCAATATAATTGAAAATAAATAAAATAGATTTAATTTTTTTTTGTAAAATTTTACAAATGTTCTTGATATTATGTAAGTGGATGTTGATGTGCATAAATTTTATATTAGAATATAGAATTCGTAAGAGATTACCAACGGCAAGCTTAAATTTTAAAATTATTTGAAAATCTTGAAATTAATGGTCAAGAGAAATGAGAAAATCGGGTGGTTCTGGCATGTTTACAAACAAATTAAGCTGTAGAATAATTAGACTTAGGGAACTCATTAGAGATTCACGTTACTAATGATCAAGTTTTAAGTGTTATATGAAAATTAATCATTTTTAAATTGAACATGGACTTCAAATTTTACTTCTTAAACAAAACTATATATGTATTGTGTTATGCTAATGGCTGATCAAAAATCTAATAAAATATTTTATATTTATGAATTGTGTTCTGTATAGTTACTGATTTTTCTCTTTTGCGATTTATATAATCCACTCTGCCGAAACTACGGCATTTGATTTTTACGAGATAAAACAATTTCTTTCAAATTTTTATTGAATTTCTTAATTAATTCTGCAAAAATTAATTTTAATTATCAATAAATTTTACCACTTAATCTTCACAATCAATATTCTATAGGCAAATATTTTCGACACCAAAAATTAGTTTTTAAATGAACAATTTATTATTTAATTTATTCAATTTTTTTGTTATAGAAACAATCAATCAACATAATACTAATAAATTCCGATAACTCCAGACATAAAAACTTAAAAACATGTAAAAGCAATTATACGATTTTAACACTTCACAATAAACCTACGATAATAATATTAATTATTGTTATTATTTCAGATACACATACAAAGTTATGTAATTTTTCCAATACACGTGTTTGAGTAAATAAATAATATGAAATTATTTTTAAAAATAATTTGGAAAAAATGCTTGTACCTGTTTGTTCAAGGTATGCAATCGGATTCAAATACTTACGTGTAACGCGTACACTTTGACCTAAAATTAATAATTTTATTGGTATTGTTTGTAATTTGCCATATGTTTGAAAGCGTGTAATAAATTTGCGTGTACTTAGAAGTTTGATTTTATTAGACAAAACTGATTCCACAAATTACTCAAAATTGTTTTATCTTTTCTAATTTAACTAGAAAACAGGTACAATTTGTAGAAAATTTTCTGTTCAAATATCTGCCGAAAAATTTTATGCCGCCGGTTTCTGTAGATTATAATAGACTACAAATAATAGGTCTCACTATTTAGGGCAGTCCCTTGTACAGTAATTTATTAAATACTCTACAATATTTTGTATACATAATTTGAAAATATATCGTGCGTTTCCAGCTGATTTTCCAATTATTGTTTCGTATTATATTCTTAACACACTGCATAGTAATTTTCATGAACATTATTAGTAATTTTTTTCGCTTAATTATAATAATTATGATATCTGTACATAAATAATTTGTATTGTCTCAACATTTATGGTCGAGAGAAATAGTGTTGAGTATTAAAGTAACTCTTACTTAAAGTATACTTAGAAAATCTATAATAAATAAAATGTAAAAAGGCAGTATGTAATGTGCATTCTTGTATACACAAATAAATATTTATATCTTAAATGAATTGAAAAATTGTAAATAAATGCAGAACGCATTTCAATTCCCTCATTCTACATTATATACAGTATTCTACACTTACTATATAAGCATATAAGTAACATATAAACAGTCTCTATACTCGTAATTATCTGAGTACATGTATATATGTAAAATATCATATTGAACTATACAAGTACTATAGAAATATTGTACACATGTTTCAATGTTATTTTATCTAATATTCTCATTCACTTTTGCTACTTACTAGTTTATAATAATTTTAATAATTTTGTATATAGGTATGTATATAACTCAATTACCTACATTATATATTTATAAACATGACATCGTGCTATATGACAGAATAATAGAGTAAAAGTGAAGTCATACAGACATTAGTAACACATACAGACATATTCACGCAATCACCTTTTACAGAATAATGCATAATATTACATATATTGTATAGATAAAAAGTAATAAATTTATAATATATGTATCTAAAAACTATCTATAGTTTGTGTTCTATTTAAAGATATGCTAAATACTATAAACGTAGTCGTAATTAAACTAAGTCCAAATATAAATCCACATACTGTTCGTTGGGAACGAAGGAATCAGAGACGGGGAGCTCGGAGTGCTGAAGAAGTCTTCGCGAGATATTATGACAAGAAGCGATTTAAGAAGATTTTATGGTACGGCAAGGAGAGCGTAATGCTATCGCCTGTATGGGAGAACGGAAATATTGAGGGACTTTGCTCTAAAAGCGACCGAGTTATGGTCTTCGAGTGAGTGGGTCTCGAACGGGTGCTGTAGGGCATGCCCGGTATACGGAGAAAGGGGGGCATAATAAAAAATTTTCCAACCATTTAAATTAAAATTTTATGATTTTTAGAATGCAAAACTATTTTCTAATTACGAACTGTTCCCAATTGCTCTATATTACAGTTAAGATAGTTATATACTTTCAAATGGAACGTGCATACTCATTGTATCCATAGTTTGAATTTTGTGTATTTGTAAACAATAAAGCATTTCACATTTTGACAGTTTTAATTTTATTTTTTATACAGTTTCTGCAGTAGAAATGAAAAATCTGCAAAATATTAAGGGACTTACAGTAAAAAAGTTCTTTCCTCTTAATATTTTATGCTTGTGTTGGTTAAAATATTGTATTTGAAATGTCATGTGATTGTTTTTTTTTTTTTGATTTTTTTTGATTTTTGTTTTAATATGCATCAAAAATGAGGGGAAAAACGAATATATTTATTTTTCTTTATTTTCGAAATTTTCAACAAATACAAAAGAGAGAAAGAAAGAGAATGGAATAAAAACACTTGAATTGTTTAGAAATTAGAAATGCGATGTGATATTTTTAACCTTTTATTGTTATTGTTATTATCCTTTTTTTATTATGATAAATAGGATGACGAAATCAGTACAAAAACAAAGTAATGGAACGAACAAAAGTCATTTTTGTTTTAAGAATGAATTCCTTTTGTTTTTTTTTTTTATTTTGTTCAAAATTATTATAAAAAAAACATATGTAAGTATACAAAATGACTTTAAACAATTTAGAAAGTTCAAAGATGGCCAGTATAATTGTAGAGTACTTTCAAAAACAAATCATATGTGATTTGAATTGAATTCAATGAAACTTAATAAATGAAAACAGTGCGGTGCCTAAGTTCCCATATGATTCCAAAAATCTATTGAATTTAATTATGAAACAGCTTTGGGTAAGTTTTTGTGGCAATCAGATGAAAAATTCTTAAATTTAGCAATTTCCAGTAAACGAAATATAGAAAATCTGGATTCACCTGTATTCCACGGTATTTAAGTCGAACTCAAAATTTAATATGAAAAATGGAACTCTATCAATTGAGACACTCAGTGCATTAGTGACATACTTGCAAAAATGACATTTCGAGTAAATTGCGATTGGAATGTTTAAATATTTAATTTTTAAGAAAATTTTTAAAAAGCAAAATCAAACTTATATCAAAATAGAGTGAAAAGAGGAGTAAACTTTAAGTATTTTGAAAATATAGAACAATTATTTAGGACATTATAGCTCTATTGAACATAGTAACTCATATTGGCAAAAATGTTGGGTAGGGCACTAATGCGTTGAGCGCCTCAATTGAGAATTCTATTCCATCTCTACTCTTAAGTTCAGTTCAACTCAAATATGATGAATTAGATAGTAAACATAAATTAGAACTGAAGTTTAAGAACCCAGTTCAATATTGTTACTCAACTCGACGGGGAACTGATGATTTTATCAAGCTTTTGAAGCCATCTGTTATGGAAGTAGAAATACAAACTCGATGTATGCTTTATAGTAAAACCATTTAATACTGAAATATTTAATGTAAATAGTGCTATATTTTAAATTTCTTTTTTATTATTTTTATAAAATTTATAATTGATTATTTTATACACGATATAAAATGTTAACATTTTATTTGTTTAACTATTTTGTTTGAAATCAAACAATGCATTGCATATAGAATAGTAATATAGATTTAAGAGCATGTAGGTATTCCAAAAAAAAAATTATTTTAACTTTTGATTGAAAATATCTAAAAATAAGAATTATTTTAACTTTTTATTTTTTTTTATATGAAAACCCTTAAAGGCGCCTTAGTGCAACAAGGAAACAAAGTTCTTTAAATTATATCATTTATATACCATACATTTATATACTATATACATATACTTATGTGTTATACTTAACTGTAATAATATATAAATGTGAATTTCTATACAAAATTAAAGCGCATGTCCCCTCCTATATAAAACAAAAATTCTCCTCAATTTTTCGATTATCCTAATTTTTTTTTTTTTGCAAATTACATTAAAATATAAATTTCTCCTACTTTATTTTTTTCTTGTCTTTGTTTTTATTTTTTATTTTTCTATCCGTTCATTCAATAGTAAAATTTCTCTGCAGTATTTTTCTTTAGTCTTCAATGATTTTTTAAACGGTATTTGAAAGCTCGACCTATCGTTCAAAAAAACAAAGTTTTTTCGTCCGATATACGAGTAGTTAAAAATATAAAATTATAAAAAGCAAGTATAAAACATAAAATCAAAAAATAGAATAGAATAAAAATAAAAACAAAACACGAAAACAAGAGCAAATTACGATTCGTTAATTTTCGTTTTCATTTCTTAATTTTTCATTTTTTCTTACTCTTCTTTTTTTTCATATTCTTCTTTTAATACTTAGTCTTTGTTCATTTGTGCGTATTTTTATTTTTATAATTTTCACTCTCTCTTTTTAAAAACATAATCAAAAAAAAATTCAAAAAATAAAAAGAGAAAGAAAACAATTCAATTTTCGTTTGGTTTCATATCCTTTTTGTATAACACTGACAGGATTTCAGTCAGATCGTCAAAATTATTCAAGTCGTAAACAACGTATGTTTGTTTTCGTTTTTTGTTGTAAAAGAAAATAATTTTTTTGAAGTAAGAAGAAAAAATAAATAAATTAAATTTGTCTTTTCGTCGGTTGTGTGTTATTTTCAAAAAAGGATATACACATTTGTATATGTGTATGTAACAAAAAAAATATTATTCATGGTAATAAGAAAAAACTCAATATTTATACTATAAAAAATAATACGGAAAATCGAAATAAATAAAAATGAATTTTTATATTTTAATTTTTTTTTTTGTTTTTGTAAATTTAATTTAAGTACTAAAAATAAATAAAAATAAATCTAAAATTTTATAATTAAATTTAAAATAAATTTTGTTCAAATTAATTCAAAAGTTCTGTTTTTTTTTTTTTCTATATTATAAACGTAATTTTAATTTTCTCTTCAATATTTTTCTTCGTTCTCTGTAATATCCTCACTTAATATTCTGTGTTATTATTTTTCTCTTATTTGAAATGTAAAACAAAAAATTCTTAATTTTTAAAATTAATACTCAGAAAATGTGAAATAATTAATTTACATGTAACAAACTAATTATAAGTATATGAAATTTGTGCATATACCAAAAGGGTATAATATCCTTTGAATAAATTCAATTTTAAATAAAATTAATGAATATTATTAAATTTTTATTATAAAATCATTTGAAAGCAGTGATTTAGACAACATAAATATTTTAATTAAAAAAAGATCTAAATAAAATTTCTCATTTTATTAATAATTTACATTATAAACAAATGGAATAATTAAAATAATAAGTGACCATATAATTAATATTATATACACAATTTTTTTTTTATTGTACTTGAAAATTGAATAATTAAATTATTAATTAAAAGAAATATAATTTACCAGAAAATATAATAAAGTGTTTTATTCTGTTTTTTCTTTCTCTATTTTTCATTATTTTATTTATAATATTATGTAAATATATTTTATAAAGGGTGTATAATTTTTATAATTTTTAACAATTTAACTGTGTTGAATAATTAAATTATACTATTCAGTACATTGTAATAATTATTATATATATATATAATATAATGAATATTAATTATTTCAAACAAGAAGAAAGAAAACAAATAAAAGTTGAAAATAATTATGAATATTTAAAATTGCAGAATTTAATTATACAAATAATTTTTTTATTATTATAAAAACATAATATTAATAAATAAAAATATAATAACAAAGAAACTAAAAAATAAAATATATAACATTTACATTTAACATAACAATTTATTAAAATTTAATTTTAATTGCAATTTTATAAACAATATACGTCGCATACATAAACACATACACGTATACTTGTATTATTAATAATATGCATTCCAATATAAATAAAAATAAAGGAAATATTTTAGTGCATTTTAAAATAGAATAACAGAGAAAGGGAAAAAAAACATAAACTAATAAAAAATAGAAATTCAAAATGAAAACAAAATGCAAAATAAATTAATAAATTATATAAATAATAATTTGCCAAATTTCCCAATTTTATTTATTTAAAATTCATTTAAATTAAAATATTTTTATTTTATATACTTTTTAATTTTTTCTATTTTTAATTTATTTGCATAATAATTATTTTCTATGACTCGGAAGAGAGCCGATATCATATATGAGTATTCCCCCTTCCCAGGAAATTTTGTTTGTGAATAAAACTACATAAGAAGAAAAAAACAAAAATTAGAGCAAGAAAAAATTTCCCAGAACTGAGAATTTCAAAAAATTTAGGTTAAACACATTAAGAATTTTATGAATTAAAGTGAATTAAAGCGAATAATTTGCATATTTTCCTCCAAAATATTAATGGAGGTATGATATTTTTTAATTGCATAAAAAAAAAATTTGGTTTTTTCTTGATTTTCTTGTGTTTTTTGTTTTTCTTGAGAGGAAATTACCATATTAAAAAACATGAAATTTTATTTTGATTATGTCTTCGAACTTTTTCCACTACTCTAGTTCATTAAAATTAACAAAAAAGAAAAATAAACTACCAAACTCTCTTCGTCTCCTCTCACCTTTCCTCTTATTCTATCATTTCTCTTTTGATATGGGATTTTTTTTTTTTTTGTATTTTATTTCTTATATAGAATTTTTATGAAAAATCTAGTAAATAATGCGGAAGAAAAATAACCTTTAGATTATTTTAACTCTACAATATAAGAGAAATAAAAGTATAAAGAAAAAAGAAGATAAGAAAAACAAAATTGTAGAAAACATAAAGTAAAAGTACAAATGTGCTTATTTTAAAGTATTTATTCGTATTTGTGTGTATATGCACTTATATAATATTATTGTAGAATATATTTTGTGCATATAAATATATAAAATGTATAAATAATTTAATTTTTTACTGCATATATTTAAATAAATAAATTTATGTATGTAATAAAAAAAAAAAAAAAAATTGCCGTATATAAGAGTTTGCCTTTTACTACAAAGCTGGACAAAATTTTGTATTTAAAAAGGAAAAAAAAAAACACGAAGCAAAAAACAAGTGTGTCGTACAAAGAAAATAAAGGCTAAAATACTAAAGCTCATATATACCTACATACATACTTTTATATTGACCTATTTTTGCTTCACATTGCTTTTCTTTTTTCAGTTTACCTCAGTATTATATGAGCGCATTGATTTTTTCTGCTGTTTTCTGCTGTTATCCTTTTCATGTTTTTTTTTTCTATTTTTGTAATTTTTGTTTTTTTTTTTTTGCCAGTTATTTGCTCCTTTATTAATCTACGTCGTTTTCTTTTATATTTTTCTTCTATTTTCGGTCTTTTAAACATAGAAGAAAATAAAAACGAAAAAAAAAGTATTATAAATTTTCTTGTTTTTCCTTTAAAGTCACTTTTCTTGAGGTGAACTTTTACTTACAAATATCCTTTTTATGTACATATATATACTTCTCTATGTTTATGTACATGTACAAATGTATATAATATTTGTATTTGCTAAGTCTAATGCTAGACGAACGGTTTATAATTATATTTTCTTCTTCTTATATTTTTGATTTGAGAATTTTTTTTTCACAGAGAATACAAGTACCCTTTACATGTGTGTTACAAAATTATATATGTATATATTCATAGTAGATTATTATAAATTTATCATTTTATTTAGATATCTATATATGTATATATATTTACATCATATTGTACTCATATGATATTGTGACTGTACGAACACGTACAATATTCTATTTTATAATAGTATATAACACTTATAGTGCAGTAATGCTCATAAGAAAATTTAAGGGTTATAGGTATAATGTATGTACGCAATATGTTACATGTTTGCGAATATACGAGTATAATATTTAAATTGTGGTAAAGGTATTTTGGTTTGTAAGGATTATATTAGGTTTTAGGATGTGTGTAAACACAATATATAAATTTGTGTGTGCTCTTTTTTGCGTTTCTATAAAATTAGCTTATTAAATTCAAACAATCTAAGCTATTTATATTAATATACATAAATATATGCGAGAGTGTTAAGGAGAACTAAAAATTAAATTAAAATAGAATTTTTATTGTTTAACAATAATTATTGTTATTACAATATTTATGTTTGATGTTTTTTTATAAGAAATTTTTAGGCTCATATCTACATAATATATTATATATATGTACATAAAAATATTGAATAATTATTACCTTATTTTTATTATGTATATTGTGGGATTTAGAAATTTTTGCGTCGGAAAATGTAATAATAACAACAGGCGCGCCGTAATATATGCAATTTTTCTTAAATGTTTTTATTTGATGTAAAATAACCAAAAGAGCTAATAATGGAAATTTTATTAACTAAATGGATGTTTTCATGATATTCATATGATTTTGGAAATTATTTGATTGCTCAATATCTTTATGAATTTGAACTCATTTTTATATTTAATATAATAATGTTTTGAATGTTAAGTAATTTTTATAGTTAGATAAATATAACTTGTATAAATTTTTCGTTAGTTCACATGGGTATTAAGTAAACTTTTGTATTTGATTATTACTTTATCCTTTTTATCGTATATTGAGTTTGAGATATGGTTCTCTCATATAAATGCTTTCAATATTTTATTATAAATGAAAATAATACTGAAAATTATTCATTTGTATATTTTATGACTGTATGAGTATGTTTCAAGTAAAATGAAAATTATTTGAATATTTTCATGATTTCCACCTCCGAATAAACTACAAATTGTAATTTTTATTTTGGATTTCACATAGCAAATGAATTAAACATAAAATATAAGTGAACAAAGGAATTAACAAGGTGAAATGCTATGTTCCAAATTTAATTTAAATTTTATATCTTAAAGTTAAAGAGTACGAATTTCAACTATAGGAAAACTAAGTCAAATCTGTTATACTTCATTAAATTCACTAACAAAAATCTGTTATATTTCATTAAATTTATTAAAATTACATTTATTTCATTAAATTTTGATATAAAGCTAAAAGATATTCCAAGGAGCTGTTAAAATCGATTTGGAAAAATTTTTGTTTTAGAAATTTTGTCTGCTTCTAAAAATTTTCAATGAACATCAAAGGGTTAAGTTAAATTTCATGAAACATGTCTTAAAACTGTGTCATTATTCAAAATTAATAATTAAAATTGTACACAACTAATTTGCAAAAATGAATAATAATGATCAATAAGAAAAAAAATTACTGGAAAAGTTTCCAAAATTCAAGGCGCTTTTCACTCATTCCATCTATTTAATGTAAAAATCTTTCTTACAAAGAGCGTTTTTCTTAATCTTCTTCTCTTTTCTTATCTCAATTCTCTTCAGTGTTTTTAATAAATGTATTCCTTGAAATTTAATTAATTTATTTTGTAATTTAGCCACTTGAGCCTATTTTAATATTTTTTTAAATTGTTTGATATTTTCAATGATATTTTTTCTATTAAGAAATTAAAATAATAAATTTATTTGTAAATTAGAACAAGAATATAAAATAAATTTTTAAAATTATTGCCTCTGATCAAATAAATTAATAAAAGACGCAAAAAGTTTTCCTTATAAACACTAGAATGTTGCTTAGTTTCCTTTATCATAAAAGTTCAGAGATACTTGAGTACTTGAAAATAACAATTATTTTCCTCAACATAATAATTTCCGTCTTAAAA